CGATTTTCTATGTCAAAATTCCCTGAATACAGCGGTTTTGTCTAAAATTGATTAAAATCAATTATAAGCTTAAACATTCGTTAAGAAAATAAAAACATATGCTAAAGGAAAACAATTAAATTCACTTGAACCATGAATTATTGAATCAGTGTTTTTTCTTTCCGGCCGACAAGAGACCGGTCCGGTCTGAATCGGTTTAAATACAATTAAAACAATGAATCTCTCAAACTCAAAATGACTAAAAAATCTCAACCCACCCACCCAAAAAAGCCAACGGAATTTACATATTTGCCCCTGAAAGAAAAGTCAAATTACTCAATAGCTCTTCTTTTCTTTCTTTCTTCTTCATCACCAAATCGCCATTATCGCGACCTCTCTTACCTCTCACCGTCAAATTGGACCGGAGGTCTTCCACCCCTTTGAAAACTCCGTCATCAATTGTCCCTGAGCTCTGAGATCTGCTCTTCAACGAGATGCTCGAACAGTTTTAATCGGAAAGTGACAAGGAAGATTTGCTTATTGTTTTTTTTTTTTTCCTTCTGGTCGGAGCAACAATGGGGTCCTCTTCTGAGACCATCGATATCTCTACTAGTGCTCGGAGAATTGGCGTTGATAATCGTATTTCTCTTAGATTTTACTTCAGGATCGCTGATAATATCCTTAAACAGGTTTCGTCTTCATACTCAAAAGACTTTTTGATTTACGGTTACTCTGTCTAAGATCGCTTTGTTTGGGGATCGTCCAATTCATTTGCATCAATTAGATACACAATTGACGTTTGATTGTTGTTGATGTGCTCTTGATTCTTGTCTCTGTATGATTGGCATATGTTCTTCTCTCTTTAATTTGTACTCAGTTCTGTAGTAATAGTTGCGGTTTCGAGTTCGATTTTGAGCTATCAGCTTCGATTTGGAACTATGCATATGGTCATGGTGGTCACAGGAACTTGTTTAGAGGATAAAAAAAAAGTAGTACAGATAATGGAATTAGTTTTCATTATAGAATTTGGAAAAACTTGTGGAGTAAAGTGCCTTGGTCACTTGACATTGATGCTTGTATAGTCTCAGTGGAATTTTGGATACCAGATGCTCTGTTTTGAGCCTTTGTTTTTAGGTGATTTCCGACTTTGTGGTTTCTCGGAAAAATTCTCAATTCATAGGTTAATAAATGTTCGATTCACAGGTTATGATTTGTGCTTGATGGAATTTTGAAACCTGCTAGTAGTTCCAATCCATTTGCATCATTATATATACACACAGACACTTCATGTTTAATTGTTGTTGAGGTGCTCTTGATTCTTGTCTCTGTGTAATTGGTATATGTTCTGTAGTTGTAGTTGCGTCTTTGAGTTCGATTTTGAGCTATCAACTTCGATTGGAAGTTTGGAAATATGTCTTCATCTTGATATTTAGTTGTTTGCTTGTTGATTCTCTGAAAATGATTCCTTTTAGGGTAATAAAGTACACTTGTTTGAGATCTTTTTTTCTCTGAAGTTCCTAATCAAATGTATGCACAAACGTTTTGTAGGCCAACATATTTCGGAAAGAGAAGAATATAATTGATTTATATGTCATGCTTCTGCGTTATTCGAGGTGAGGATTATACATCAGAATGAAAAGAAGCTGAACCTTGACACTCTCTGTAGAGAGAAGAAAGATCGTAATACCTTTTTCTGAAATCAATTATGTTTCTTGTTCTTCTCTAGCTTGGCTCTCGAGACTATACCCTCCCATCGAGATTACAGAACAGCTCTTCAAAGCAACAAAGAGTATTTGAGAATGGTAATGGATATATATCCTTATGATCCCTGTCAACGTTTTGTCTATCTATCAGTAGTTTGATGTGATCTTTTTTTTTTAATCTCATCTAGAGACTATTGGATGTCTTGACTGAGCTAGAGAAGTTGAAACCAGTTGTACGGCAAAGGATCGATGAACTGTATCCTAAGCCCATACCTCGATATAATGTGCAAGCTAATCCAGTTAACGGTTCCTCACGCTGGTCCGTGGCCATAAAACCATCTTTAAATAGCTATGATCATGCTAAGGTGTGCTTAATACTTTACTCTTGTTAGTCATATATGCCATGCATACTAATTAAGCTGCAGTAGATAAGTATCCTCTTCCCCTTTCTATGTTTCTCTTGTTCGGCATAGGTAATAAATCCTAGTGGACATAATTTTGGCTACATGGGTTCCAGGGGTCAGCAATTCTCGAACGGCGCACCACTTGAAGAGCGTTTCCGAAATATGTATGTCTTCGTTGTATTTTTTACATTGTTTTCCTGGTTTTTTTGTCCTGTCTTATAGATTTTATTAAGTGCATGATTTATCTAGGTCAGTGAAATTTATCCGACCAACAGAAGAAAGCCTTTCCAAGCACTCTATCTTGGGTCCAAATGGACTCCGTGCACAGTGGCAGCCTCCAAAGAATGATATAAAGGTATTATAGCATATGCTTCTTTTTTATCCACTTCACCGCACTAAGCTGATGTTCTTTTTGTTCTATTATCCAGATTCAGTATCCAAACAATATAGATTTATTTTCGCCAGTTGAAATCCCAAGGTTAGACCATCTAGCTGGTTTTATTGCAAAGTGTACATTTCTATCCTGCATATAAAGAGATTTTGTTTTATTTCTTAAATTTTCTGCCGCTTTCCCTCTCTTGATAATCCCATGCATATGTTGTTTAACTTGAACAGCTTCCAACAATTCGTGGATAGCAAACCAATGATAACGAATGGCAGTAATGACAAACCTGAAATTCCAACTGTGGAATCAAGTT